TATATATATATAGAAATTATTGAAAAATATGTATATGTTCAATGTGTTAATTTCTGTAAATTTTAATCAAATTTTGTCGCTGTGATTCGAGAAAATAACAATACACATGTATAAGTCATATACATACATATAAGTTCATATTTTGACACTTCTGGAAGCCTCTTATGAGATAGAGTATTAATTTTTATGTGTTTTTCTATTTTAAAAGTTTCAAAATATGCTTAACGGTTTTTACATTAATTAGCTTTGTGTAAGAAAGTATATATTTTTTACTAAATTTTAATTGTTATTTTTTCGGATTATAGCAACAGAATCTGATTAAAATTTACAGAAATTATATATAGCATATTAAACACTTTGTACATTTATTTCCAATAATTTTTTTTATATTTTATTTTTTTCTATATATAGTGGGGTGACAATCTTAAAAACAGAATAAATTTGGTAATATGTACAAAGGTGAAACATAATTTGTGTTAAAATCGAGAAGAAGATAATTTTTCTGCGAATATAATTTAAAAATATGTAATAAATTTTCAATTTTGAAGTAAATTCTTTTTTGTTCAAGGAAATTGATATTAAAGATTAAAAGACTAAAAATATCTTTTCTTGTACTTGTACTACTGCTTTTTTTCATTATTACTATTCTTTGACTATTACTTTTTATTTTAGGAAATTTGGGCATAGCTAGACTCAATATGACTCATTATGAGGATGCCATCGGTTATTTTGAGCAACAATTAGCAACTTTAGAACCTTTAACTACCGGTACAGCTTTGCTTGACAAAGCCCGAGCACTCGGAAACTTGGGCGACTGTTATGAGGCCTTGGGTGATTTGGAAGAAGCTATTAAATGCCACGAACAGCAATTGACAGCCGCGATAAAGTTGAAAAGTATTAGAGATCAGGAAAGGGCATATAGAGGATTGGGAAGAGCTCGCGAGGCGACCGGAAACTTGCAGGAAGCTCTGGTATGTTTCGAAAAGAGATTAGTGACTGCACATGAAGTGGATTCTCCTGAAGCGAGGGGTGCCGCTTACGGTGATCTAGGTATGAAAATTAAATTTGGATTAATTGTCTCACAAGTCGGTAGAAAAGTAGAAATATAGATATATATTAGAAAGAAATATAGAATATTTATATATTCTAGTTCTTCTTATAAATACTATGCAAATTAGTTTGTTCGTCTAACGTGACGTTAACTAGCAGTGAGCTTAATATTAATTTTTAGGTAGAGTACACGCCGCGTTGGGTAACCATGAGCAAGCCGTTAGTTGTTTATCGCATCAATTGGCCCTTGCTCGAGGACTCGGTGACAAAGCGGCCGAGGCCGAAGCCGCCAGCGGTTTGGGTGCGGTTCATCTTCTGATGGACGATCCGAATTCCGCGTTACGCCACCATCAGTTGGAGTTATCGATCGCTGAAGGCTTGGATGCGGCCGGATTGCAGGCTCGTGCCTGTGCAAATTTGGGCGTGACTCAAGAAACACTGGGGCAGTACGAGGAAGCTATAAGATTACAGGAACAGTCATTAAGCCTGGCAGCCGCAGCGGGCGATCAACCTGCTCGAGCAGCAGCTTTCGCCAGTCTCGGGCGACTTCATCATCTATGCGGCGATTTACCGCGTGCTCTAAGTTACTTGCAATCCGGTTTATCTTTGTCTGAGGGTCTTGGTAGAAGAGAAGAGGTCGCGAGACTGAGACACAGACTCGGTCTCGTGCACTGGGAAGCCGGAGAGGCAAGCATCTCCGTGGAACACTTAGAGAAGACTGCGAATCTATTAGAATCGTTAGACGGTGCTTCGGTGTCCCTTGTTTGCGGCCAACCTAGCCGGGCCGAATTGCTGTCGGAGACGTACAGAATGTTGCAGAAAGTGCTAATCAGTCTGAATCGAGCGGAAGAAGCTCTGAATTGGGCAGAGAGATCCAGACGATCCAAGAGTAATTCCTTGGATGACGCAGCCCATTATTCCGAGATTATTGATCGACAACGCGGAGTCGTTTTATATTACAGGTGCAGCATTTTTTTCGGGGGATAAATATCAAACATAATAATCTTAAAACTAGTCCATAACTAGTGCATAAAATTTTTATATTGATATAATGTTAATAATATAATATAAATGTTAGACTAATAATTTTATGCACGTGTATCGATTTTGAGTTGAACACTGTATAATATGTATATTAATTTAACATTTTTCGAAACATATTTTATGATGTATGTCTCTCAAAAGATAAAAATAGTCGAATGAAATCGTTTCAGCGAGGTAGGATGTGAACTTCACGCATGGTGCTTGGCGCCAGGACGTGGCCTGTTGCGATTCCACTCAGTCACTTTAGACGACGGAGTTGATTTGGAAAAGAGGGTTCTTCAAGCACGAGAGGCGCTTCTGGACGAGAGCAATGAACTCATCGAGGAATCCGCTAAGATCCCGTCAAGAGGTCATCATCTGAATGCCAGTTCTTACAGTCTGAGCAGCCTTTTCAGCGTCGGCTCCGTGAGCTCTCGCGCCGGGAGTGCTCGCTGGGGACGAGGAACGAAGGGACCCACATGGCAAGCGCCGTTACCAATACAGATGCTCTACGATCTGCTCCTCGCGCCGTTCGAAGATCTACTACCGCCGCCGCGAAAAGAATTGATCATGGTAGTAGAGAAATCTCTCTACTTAGCACCGTTTCCGGCTCTGCAGTCTAATCCAGGCGAAGATTATCTATGTGAGAGATTCTCACTGCTGGTAGTGCCATCTCTTGCGGCTCTTAGAAAAAGATCGAAGACACCTGTGCTAGAAGGCGGTGCTACCGTGGCCGCGTTGGTTGCCGGGAATCCCGCTTTGTCGAAGGAGGTTCGAGAGGAGTACGGATGGTCCGAAAGTGTCGCTTCCACCGAGACCGAATCAGAAATAGTCGCCGAATTGTTGGAGGCCCGTGCAATGACCGGTTAGTTTTAACCTTATGTAGCTATAATACGTATAAAAAATTTCTTAATTTTACACACAGAACATTTGTTAATTTTACATACGAATAGTTTCTTGATTTTACGTAAATAAATTTTTTTAATTGTATCACTTTGATGTAAAAATATACTCAAAATTATAATCACAATAGGACTCGAAGCTACCAGATCGGCAGTTCTGCGGTCTCTACCGGATGCAGAGTGCGTTCATTTGACTGTGCCAGTTTTCTGGAATACGGGCAGTCTAATGTTCTCTCCTGATCAGTGCGAGGAGCCATCTGAGAGGTCGGAGTATCTGATAAATCAGGTGGATTTGTTAAGGCTGAAGATGTCCGCCCGCCTAGTGGTCGTTTCCAGCGGCCACAGTTGGAGCAACGTAGAGTGCACCAATGCAACATCAGATGGCATACAGAATCTCGCCAAGACTCTATTGAGCGTGGGCGCACAATGTGTGCTGATCGGTATGTGGGCAGTACCGCCAACCGCCGGCAGCATCCTGCTGCGGGCATTCTACAGCGCGATGCTGCAAGGCGCTAGAGCGTCACGAGCTTTAGCCGAAGCGATGCAAACCGTCCAGCACACTAGACACTTTGCTCACCCTGCCAACTGGGCTGGTTGGCTGCTCATCGGCGGAGACGCGAGATTATCTAATAAGGTATATATATCTTGTAGGAATATTTTAATATTTATGGAAACTTTGTTACATGGAAAACGATGAACTTAATCCATTAATAAATGTTCTAATATGATACAAAATTATTTTGGGAAGATTTAATTTTATTCGGTCTCGGAATAAAGTAAATCTGGTTTGTGATAATTTGCTTTTTAGATTATAGCGTGCTTATAATGTGAACAAAAAGAAAAACAATTGTTCGACTAAAGTTAATAACATTGATACAATGGGATCTTAATGCCTCTTATGTAATTCTGTTATGGATAAAACGCACACTTGCCAAACTTATTTTTGTGCATTATTTTTATTACATTAGTCTGGTTTGGTTCTTCGGAGAATAATAATGATTTCTTATAGATTTTTGTGCGCTGAATCCGAATCCGGCATCAAAAATTGTCTATCACATCAGATGTTTTTGAGAAAATTTAAACAAAAGATGAAAAATATTTGCATTGTTGATAAAAGGTCAAATTTTGTAGACCAGTGTTTTCAATTGAGCCGCTTACTGAGAACTGAGAACCCAAACTGATTAACTCCATTCTTTATAGGTTTTTCAATTTTAGTACCAAAGCACATGATTGGTGCTTAACTTTTCATAAATAAAATTAATTTATGGAGTTTTATTTGATTATTTTACTACAGCTTTATTTATAATATTTATCGATATTTATCAATATTTATTGTTGAACGAGACTGTTGTCATTTTACCAGGTCGCACTCATGGGCCAAGCACTGGCGGAATTACTACGCGGCGGTCCAGAGCAGAGTAGGGACGCGCTGCGAGTGACACTTCATTTGGTAGAGAAATCGCTGCAGAGAATTCATCGCGGACAGAAAAATGCGATGTATACGACTCAGCGCAGTATCGAAAATAAAGTAGGTGCGGCTACCGGTTGGCGAGAACTTTTGATGTCGGTGGGATTTAGATTCGAGCCAGCCGGCAACGGGATACCGTCTTCCGTGTTCTTCCCACAAAGCGACCCCGAAGAAAGACTGACAAGATGCAGCGCCAGTTTGCAAGCCCTATTAGGATTAGGTCAATCGTCATTGCACGCTTTAGCTAGACTCTTACAGGTAATGATTTACTTTAATCATATTTAAGAGGTCTTTCTCTGTAAAAATCTTGAAATTTTCGATTTTTTTATTTTTGCAAATTCTAATAGTTTCAAGTTTTGAAAATATGTCCCTAAAAGATGTTATCAAAATTCGAAAAATTGAAGTTGCTATGAGCGTTCAACCGCACCAAAATTGAACGCGTGGAGAGCGTTCAGCGAAACTTCAAACGCGTTTTTCTCGAAACTGTTTTCAAAATGCGTGTGCAAGATTGCGAGAAAACTATTGAACCGATCATCTTGCAATCTTGTGCATGCATCTTCAGTATATTTTGTTCCAAGGAACCTTGGATTTTCTAAAATTCCAAAAATTAATATTTTTTTATATCCTGTAAAAGGCCGATTTTTTACTTTGAACTAATGTCATTTTGTAATTTTTTGCTTTCCCTTCTTTTCTGAGGTTTATGTCCTCATCAACTATTCATAAATGCAACTTTCTTGAAATTTCTGTTTAAAATCATTCAAAGCTAAGAAATTCTGCACATCGCAGAGTGTTTTTTTTTGCTTCCACTAAATGTTAATAACTTTTTAATTAATGAACATATTTATATCAAATTTTTAATGAAAAGAGTTTAATTTATATATAATAAACTTATAAAAGCCTATGAAAAATTTAACATACATTTAAAAGCGAACATAGAGTCTGAGCTAGAACTTGGTGCTCACTATTTATTGTATATATTGATGTGAAAAACAATATAAAACCAAACGCTTCGGCCTTTGGATTAAGTCATCTTCAGTGTATAAATTAAAAGCCCGATACAATCGCAAACGCAGTTATAAAGAATTAAATAACAATATTAAACGCAAACGCAATTATGCTAAGTTCATATTTGACGAAATAAACTGAGGTAGTTGTTCTTGATGTTGAAACAAGTAACATGAGCTGTGAAAGTTAAACATTTAAAAGAAAGTTAGTAAATGTGAAGTTAAAATACAAAGTCAAAATTATGAGTCAGAGTTTAAAATTATAAGTCAAAGTTTAAAAAGTATTAAAGTTTAATAGGGTCGCACAAAATTGGAAATCAGGGAAAAGTCAGGGAAATTGGAAATCGTCAGGGAAATCAGGGAAAAGTCAGGGAATTTCGCAAAATTCTCTGGAAAATAAAAATTCTTGGCTTTACAGACGCTTAATGTGCGTACATCACACCTACGCAGTTTTGATTAGCGTACGCATTGACTTGGTTCGGTGTCCGTCTCATTTGTGTCACAGCGTTACAACCGATAGAGTCGTTCCACTCCGCTTGTTCCTCAGGTAAGCCGGTCGGCTCCTCTGTTATGATGCGCCGTGATTGCGGTGCCTCCGTCGCCGTATCGTTGCGTGCTGTGCTAACCCATCTTTTGTTTTCTTCGCTTCGCAACATGCCTGGACATGCCGCCCGGCCCTCCGGATTTCTGAAAAACGGTGATCTGCTGGCTGGATAAGGTTAGGCTGAGGGTTGGGGGCTGGCTAGCTGGGTCTCTGTTGTTAGTCGCATACGTTGTAGAGCCAGTACAGTGCGCGTGGCGTTCGCCGCGTTTATTAAGCTCTGAACTTCTGAATATCTTGTTCTGAAGAAAATAGGAGTCCACACCAAAGGTAAGCTAATAGTTGTTTACAAGTTATGTGATCAGCAAGTGTGTTGCTGATTTGCTTGTCCTGAGATTTTTTGAATTGTACGAAAACTTTGCTAGCCTGTCCACATCAGTAACAGGATCCAAGAATCGATTTATTCTTCATTCTTGATTGTCCAGCGATTGATTTTCTTCTCGGTAGTTGTGACGTTCGTCGCTTTCTATTCGCAGATATTTTCACCTCTAGTCGTAATAATGCTCAAGTTCAAGAAAACTGTTTTTCATGACGACTGGCAGGAGAGACCCAAATTTTTTGGGATCCAGAAAGGCAAAGTGGAGACAGAGGCTTATTGCACTTTGTGTAAGAAGACTCTACAACTGAGCAACATGGGCATAGAGTCACTATAAAGTCACGTGAAGCCGAGAAGCAAGCATGACAAGAAAGTGTCGGATGCAAGAAGGTCTGCAACATTCGTCCTTTCAACAACTTGGCAACGGCGAAGGTAGGCCTGAACAATTGTCCTCTTTGCGTTCCAACTTTTCGAATTTGTGTCGCGTGTGTCGTCCCGTTGATGTCTGAAATGTTGAGTTAGGCTCTAAGTTAGGGTTATTTATGTTCATAAGCTGTTTTGTACTAGAGAATTGCGGTAGTGTATAATTGCGGCATAAGTAGTGGTGACGTATAGCGGTGAAGTGGTGGCAAAAGAAAAGTCAGCAGCAATTGTGTTTGTCACATTGTCACGTGATGAGGATGTTGTTGTTTTTTTTCAGGCTTGTGGTTCTTCCTCCACATTAGATGAAAATGTTGACAACCCAGCCACGTTGGAGCAAATAGCGAACAGACAGTCCGTTCCAACTCAGATCATATTGACAAGTATTTCCTTCATGATGATGTTACTAGAGTTGAAATTTTGTAATGTCTTCAAGCTGTCGAAAATCATGCATCTGCTTCAGCAACAGGAAAAGAAACTTCTCGGTTTCCACTTATGTTCCCAGATAGTAAGATAGCATCTTCCATTTGTTTACATGGATAGCTCACATAAAGGGCTATCATATGGGATAGTTTTTGGTTTGGCGCCCTATTTTATTAGGAAAGTTCTTGACGCTGTTCGTGACAGTGGCCCATTTGTGATTTCTTTTGATGAAAGCTTAAATAAAGTGGCACAAACTCAGCAAATGGATTGCTTTGAGATTATAGAATAACGACAGTAATCAAGTAGAAACACTATTTTTTCTCTGCTTTTCTCAGTCACGCTCAAGCCAAGGACTTGTTAGGAGCTTTTAAGGAAGAACTAAAAGACTTAAATTTATAGAATTTGTTACAAGTATCCGTAGACGGTCCCAACGTAAACTGGGCCTTTTTAAGAGAGCTAGAATGTGATATTTGATCTATGGTGAAAATTTTTATGGGTTCCTGTGGTCTGCATGTTATCAAAAACAGCTACAAGGAGGCAACTAAAGTGGCTGGAATACGGTTGCCTTTCTCAGACCAGCTTACTATGTCTTCAAGGATGTTCCTTTCAGGAGAGGTAACTATCTGGGATTCAATCAGAATCACCATCTCTTCCTACAAAGTTTTGTTCCATTCGCTGGCTAGAAAATGAGAAAGTAACTGAAACTGCAATTAAAATAATTCCCAATCTAAGGAATTTTGTTGATGAAGTTAAAGAAGAAAAGATTAAAATTACATCCAAGAGTTTTGAAACCATGAACAATGCCTTGAGGACAAACTTTTAGCTGCCAAGCTTTTTTTTTTGGTTATGTCGCTGTGTAAGTCAGCTCCTTTCCTGAAAGAATATCAATGTGATGCTCCTATGTCACCATTTTTATGTAATGATTTATCAGCTGTAATGTGACTTGTGTGACTTAATGTCTCTTATTGTCAAGAAGCAAGTTCTCGAGAAACAGAAGGCAACTTGTGATATTGATTCAAACAAAGAAAGTAATTTAATTGCATTTCAAAAAGTGAAATTGAATCATGCAGAGCTCAATTGAGGAAACTGCAAATAAGTGACAAGGACATGATGGGTTTCAAAACTGAGTGTAGAACATTTCTAGTCAAAATGTGCATACACTTGTTGAAAAAGTCTTCTTTGCAATATAGCATCTGCAAAGCAGTTAGTTTTTGTGATCCTGTGTGTGTTAGTTTCTAGTTGTTTCTAGTCATTTAAGTGTCTGTAAGAAAAGGCTTTCTAATGCTTTGCAATTGTTTTCTGCAAGAAACTGAGTTATTAGTCAGACCTGTGATAATTGAGAAAGAATTCAGCATTCTTTCTTATAAGATAGAATAAGTTGATTTATGCAAACAATTCATTAGAAAAGATCAGAGAATTGATCATTTTTGGAGAGACTTGTTGCAGAATCAAGATAATTTCCAAAAGTATAGAGTATCTCTATACTTTTGTGAAAAAAGTGCCAATTTTGAGTCATGGTTAGGCATTTGTAGAAAGAGGATTTTTGATAAACAACGAGTGTGTTGTTGAAAATCAACTACCCAGGTCATTAATATCCCAGAGGCAAGTTTATGATGACCTTAAGGCAACAGGTGGCCTCACTAAACTTACAGTAGAAAAAGGATGATTTTATCTTACTGTAATGCGAGGGATATGTATGATAAAGCTTTGGAAAGGCAGCGTTCTCAA